GTTTTCTTAAAAACTCATCCCTTTGTGGGACCACAAAGCACTAGGCTCCTAAAGACCCAATCATATAGCATCTCCCATTGAGCAACTCAGCAAAACATCTTAGCTCATCATTCTCGTTCAAACCATCTCAAGGGAATTTCTAAAATAATATGATTGAAGGGTATCTAGTCTTCCCAACATCGCATACATAACTCCATGAATTAGGGGCTCAAGCCTTCCTTACATTCACTTTCAACTTCAAGTATAAGTATACATAAATCAACTACAACCACAGTATGCTCATGTCAACATTTAAGAACACACATACCTGCATTTCTTAAGCATATATAATCAACACCATCATTATCAACTTTTCCATCAACATCTAGTAAACTTCTTCTATGGTCCACACATAGCTAGACATAAGGAAAAAGCCTCCTGTTCCTAGCCTTTAAGACTATTTGTAGCCTAACACTCATTCCCAATTGGAATAAGCACCATATATCCCTTAAGGGGTATCAACATCACTTTCTATTCCATCTAGAACATGGGAGTACAACTCACAATAGCAAAAACATCTATTAGAAAATAGGATTTTTGCACAATGAGCTTTAACTCGTTGAGAGACTAAAGCCCTCCATGGCTTCATGCTGAGCGAGCATAAGCTCCTTAAGCAACCCAGGATCTTTCACTAAGAAAGCTTACCTTGCTCATCAACCACAACTCACTATGGCTCGTCTCTCATTTAGCGAGCTATTACTCATCAAACAGAGCTTCAACAAAAAACTAGATTGTTGAGCAAGACTAGGCTTGCTAAACAAAAACCCCAATTCTTGGTTTTTGGCCTTCATTCTTCATAGTGCTTGTATCCTCCAACACTCTCCAACCCCCTCTTCTTATATGTAAACCATTCAAAATCATCAAAACAACATCTACATCATGGATTCACCAAAAACAACACATGAAAAGGAGATAATTGGGCACAAAATCATCAATATAACTTCATCTTCAAAACTAAAAAAAAAAAAAAAAACCCCAAAATACACCACTTGAATTTCTCAACATTCATTCATCAAATCAACACAAAATAATAACATTTACGCTTTTAGAATTTATATAAGCCACAATCAAGCTTCCTTTACCTCAATTGAGCTTCTTTTATAAAAAAAATTGCGGTAAATAAAAACTCTTTCTACAACTCTCACATGATCACCAATAGCTTTGATACCCAACAATCCCAACTCCACACTTCCTTTGGCTCCAAGATCCACCAATCTCTAGCTTCGGGGAAGATCCACAGCCTCAAAGTCACTCAAAAGCTTGAATAATAGCTTAGATTTCTTAAAGACCTTATCCTTAACTTTTTTTTGAAATGATAAGTTATGAACTTATGAAATTTACTTCTCAAATTTCATCTTATATACTACAACCCTCATCAGACCAGCTCTCACACACTTAAGTTATATCCTCTATAACTTAAGTTTAGGGTCATCTCAACTATAACCTTCGCCCTCAACACAGGCATCATAAAACAACACAAAACAACTTACTACAACATAAAATATCACTCTTAATTATATATCACAAACATATATGATTAAGAAAAACACAGTGTTGACAAATCAATATGTATTAGAGAAAACAATATGCAATTACATCATAGCATAAACTAAAAAAGTCATCAGAGTATAAAAACGTCAAGTATAAAATAACAAAGTTTGTATTTACAAATAAATAAATTAAGTCCCTCATGACAACCAACTTCATTCCCCCCTTTTGCCATTATCCAAAGAATCTAGGGAGGTGCGCACCATCATAGTCCAAGTTGGTTGTTAGTCCTTCTTTGCAAAGTTCTTGAGCTTGGTGAAGAGTTGTTGAATCTTTAAATCCACCTAAGCTCCAAAAGCACCAAGTTTGGCATCAACAATAATAATATTGCCAACTTGGGATGAAGCCACATACTCCAAGGTAGGTGGAGCAACTGAAATCAAAAGGGCTTCAATAGCCAAAGGGGTAGTGGTGGCTAGTAGATTAGAAGATGAAGTTTCTACCATTTACATATCTTGCATAGAACTAGGTGATGGTTCAAGGAGCTTGGTTGTCATATTGAGTAGTGGAGGAGGAGCCTACTTCGTAGCTAGATCCTCAAGAGTGAGAAACTAGTATAGGATCTTGGACCTAGGATATGTGGCAATGGTGACCTTAGTTTCCCAATCAAATCCTTGATTTGGCAAATTATATAGAGTTGTGAGTATCAAATAGAGCTATAATGTACCATAAACAATTATCTACCTCACACTTTGGTAGACAAAAGTTGTAATTATGTCATTCAAGTGATGGACACAAAGGCTTCTAAATAAGCTTGTCAAAGCAAGTTGGGATCATCTTGCATTCCTCAACTGTAAGTCCACTAATGAATGCAAACTTAGTGTGAGTGAACATGTGTTGCAAGTAAAACTTCTCCACGTTAGACTCAATATAATCACGCTCCAAACGACGTCATGTGTATACTTCAAGAATCATTCTTGGATAACTCTTGCACTATGTGCTAGATGAGGCATATGATTTGGCAATGGTGTTCTCATCCTTTCATTTGTTTTTGTCCAAGAAAGGCATTCTAAGGCTAACCTTATCACGTTGAATGTCAATCCAAGTTTAATTAGTGTGTCGAATGAACATGGGATAGTTGTATTGGGTCTTGATGTATGGCCCTTGGCATATCTTCCCAATGAAGTCCATGTCATCCTCAGATGGAACCAACATTCAAATTCTTTGAGCTAAAATAACACACCAATATTACTAACATTTTTTTATTAAAAAATGTAATATAAATTTAAATATAATTAAATTGATATATATATATATAACTTAAAAATAATTATTTATTTTTAATAATTTTATATGTAATTTAAAAGAAAAAAAAATAACATCGAATGAAATAGGCCTAATACCTTTCAAGCCTAATTTTTACTTGTCCAACCTAACCTAGTTAGCTTGTTATTGGGCTTAGCCAAATTGGATCAATCTTTTTTTAACATAAAAATAAAGATTTAAACTTGACCTAGCCTAGTGGACTAACAAGTCAATTTTGACACTTCTATCAATTAATTAATATTATAAATTTGAATATATTGTTTAAATTCAATATCATGAAAAAGAAAATATGAATGCATGAAGGGTTATATGTGAAGAAAAAAAAAATTATTTAAGAGGACATGAAACTAAAATTAATTATTTATTAAAATATTAAAAAGTTATATTAATTTTATTTTTTTATTCAAATATTATCTTTTATGTTATTTTTATTATTTACATTATTTTTTTAAAATTCATATTTTCCTTTATAATCTCATGAACTTATTTAAGATCATATAAATTCTTATGATTTACATCTATTAAAATCTATATTATAAAAGTATTTTAAAAAAAATCTTAAATATCATTACATTTTTTATAAAATACTTTAAAATTCATAATATTTTTTTATATTAAAATAATCTTATCAAATCTCAATCTAATATTACCCTAAATTTTGATCGATGATATATATCATATCATATCCCAAATTACTTTATAAATGATCAAGATATCATATATTTATTTTGCTTTCTCATAAAATAATAAATAAATAAATAAAAGAATCGTCCTCGAATAACATAAAAGATATTAGGATAGGAAATCATTTCAGAAAATAGTTTTCGCCGGTGTGAGAAATATTTACAAATTTTTAATAAGTCACATGTGTCACGCTGATTTTGTTTCAATTATACATTTATTAGATTAATATTTGACCCCTGAAAAGAATAAAAAAAAAATGGGAAAACGGATGAAGAGTTGGAATGTCAATGACATTCTACTGAAAGAACAATAACATTGATTATGACGCACATAAAATAGAATGGTAATGCTTGGAGGACTAAGACTAAGCATAATTTTATATTTCAAAGAATAATCATTTAGTAAAATTGTTATTATAATTAATATAAAAGAAACAGTCTATGCCTTTCTATATTTTAAAAATAATACAGTAAACAATTGAAGAAGGTTTGGAATGATTTAGAATCGATTATAACTTGAATAAAACAGTCCAAAAATTATATATATATATATTATATAAAAAAAATATATGAAATCACTTTTATGTATAAATATAAATCAACGTATTAAATTGTAGTTACAAATGCGGTTCCTGCAACTCTGATATTGAATAAAAAAATTACCGTTGATGTGGCCATAATTGCGATCACGTTTGAATTGGAGGCAGAAACTGTTTTTTAAAACCATAATTGTAATTAAAGTGTACAATCTTTAGTTAAATTCCCTTGTGTTATTTATTCAACTGTAGGTACGTGCCTTCAAGTTGTGTCTAATTTTCCATCTTATTTAATTTGTGTATGAACAATGTCCAAAAAGGTTAATCTTATCGTATTGGGTATGTTTTCCATTTAAATAAGATTGTTTTTTTAGTAAAAAATGTGTTTCTGGATTTTAAAAAAGTTTTTAAAGTAAAAAAAGAATAAGATAAAGAAAGTATTACAAAAACAAGGAATGTAAAGAAAGGGAAAGAAATGATATGAATTAAAAATAAGTCAAATATAAGACAGGGAAGAAAAGAATAAAATAAAATTAATGTAGGTACATTTGGAGGAGAGGGAGACGGTATGGTTTTGGTCAAATACTCAAATTGCCTCTAAAAATTTGTAAAAGGACAAAGAAATCAATAAGAAATTATACAATTGCTAGCACTTCTAGTAAAAGGGTTAAGTACAAAGCACTAAGCAGGTCATGCACATGCATGAATGATAGAGATTTTTTTTTTGTCTCTAAACAATGCCCTTTAGGTCTCATGAAAAGGCAAATGGAATGAGAATACAAGTTATTATTATAACAAAACAGCTCACCCTAATAGAATAATAGTTGTTTATCATTGGCAAAAGGGTCAAACAAAATAATAATGAACAAGTCCAATTTTTTAAATTTGGTAAAACACCACCACCTTCTTTGCTTGTCTTTCAATTCAAAAATCAACCTAGAAAATCCTTGAGATTCTTGATGAAATCTGTGGGATATCACTTTCCAAACTGTCAGATTTCCCATGAGGATTATGTATCTTCTTGACCATGATAGCTTCCCATTTAAAATGTCACACTCTCATTCATCACATTATTCATCATCTATATCCCTCTTCCTTCTTCTCTTCTTTCATCCATTTTTCTCCTTTTCTTGTGGCCACATATTACCCTCCAAGTTATTATGGCTATGACTATGGACTCCCAGTTTCATGTTTTGGCTGTTGATGACAGTCTCATTGACAGAATGTTGATTGAGAGGCTCCTAAAAACCTCTTCCTTTCATGGTATTTTTCTTGTCCCCTCTAATTATTTTATCTCATTTATTATGCATTTTTTTTTGTTATAATACTGTTCAAGGTTTTAAATTTTGGCTGCATCTTCAAGGTTTTTAGAGTTTCCTTGACTATAATTATAGTTATATATTGGCTGAACTCATTAACAATTTTTCTCATTATCATAGAATATGCCGAAATTGTAACTGTTACTGCAATTTAAAATCTTAATATTGACATATAATGAAAGAGACAAATGCTATGAGCATGTTGTTATTGTAATAGTTTATGTTATTTTTTTCTGAAGAAGGTATTTGGGGTAATAAATTTGATTCTTTTGTATATTTGCTGAAATCACAGTTACTACAGTGGACTCTGCCACCAAGGCTTTGAAATTTCTTGGTTTGGTTGAAGATGAATTGAGGACTTTTAACTCTTCTGTTGCATCAGATATTCATCAGGTTAAATTCTCAAACTAAATTACTCATATGTATGACTTAAAACATTTTAGTGGACAAGTTTGTATTAATGAATAATCATTGATTATTTGATTTAATTACTCAAGCAGGATGTAGATGTAAATCTGATCATAACGGACTACTGCATGCCAGGAATGACCGGCTACGATCTGCTGAGAAAAATCAAGGTAGGCTCTTGGTCTTGGGATCTTTTCCTAGACTTTTTAAAGAATATTAATTTAGTTTCAATTTTGTGCCCATTTTCAATTTCAAAAATTTGAATGCATCACAAAACTTGGTCATGTCTTTCGTTTTTAAAGGAAACAATTTGAAAGGATTAAGATATTATATCTCTTATATATAAGTTATGTGAAATTTTAAACTATTTCTTTTTAAATAAAAAATCCCTCTTGATATCTGGATTGAAATATTTTCCAAATTTTTTAATATGATTAATCTCAAATCAAAATTGCTCATGGCCATCATAATATCTTTTTGACTGCTTATGTATTCTTTTTATTGATGTTGAAAAGTAATGATCAAGATTACTGATTTGCAGGAATCTAGCTTTCTTAAAAACATACCAGTTGTGATTATGTCTTCAGAGAATGTACCCTCAAGGATTAACAGGTGAGGAAATTGAATCTTATAACTCAAGTCTACTACCAACATAATAATTTTGGAAATTTCAAATTAACATACTAGGGGCATCACATAGCTAAATATTATATTTTGACTAAATTATCTTTTAAAAAGATTTAAATTTAAACACTAGGGGATCATCACATGACCAAAATTTAATACCTTACTAATGATTTTTTTTTTGTTTTTGTTTCAGATGCTTGGAGGAGGGAGCAGAAGAATTCTTTCTAAAACCAGTTCAACAGGCAGATGTAAACAAGCTCAAGCCACATTTAATGAAACCAAGAGCTATGGAAGAGCAAGTTGAACCCTTAAATAACAAAAAGAATGACATGGAAGAAATTCATTCCCTAAATAAGACCAGAATAAAATGTAGCAGTTAAAATTGGTTTCAAATTAAAATTGATATAAAAAAAAATAGTCTTAGAAAGCTAGAACATTTTCATTTCTCTATCTCACTGGCTTGGTAGTTAGAAGAGTAGATGGCAGTCAACTATATATAAGTCATTCATTTATATAGTTTGAGAAGAAATTTCAAACAATTTTGGTGAACAAATAGTATTTTATCTTGCCAAAAAAAATTTTAATTTCACTACCCTTTATTAGTTTACAATTGCTACCTGCACATTCTTTTTTAATTTCATTACCCTTTATTAGTTTACAATTGTTACCTGCACATTTTTTACATAATCAAATAAAAGAATCGAAAAAAATGGGACTTGAAACGGAGAACTAAATGAGTAATGAATAAAGTTTTGAGCATTAGAAAGGAAGAAGTTGACAGAAGTTATTCTAATTATTTAAGAATTAAGTAAATTTTACATGTGTAAGGTCGATATAAATGATTGTTGTAGGTTTTTTTTCTTAAATATTTAAATTGAGACATGAGTTGAAGGATAAGAAACACTTTACACAAACCTTTATTTACCTCTTTGTCTATTTTCTTGTGGCTTCCAATTTCGAGGGATGCTTTTATATATTTTTGTACTAAACTTTTTTTTTCTTTTAAAATAATATACATATTTTTCTTTTCTTTTTTTATAATTTTTTATTATTAGTATTTTCTGTGTTGGAATACAAGTAAAGTCCTACATCGTTCAAATAAGAGGATGGATATAAGTTTATATATACACAGTTGTTTCCATTGGTTGAGAGACTTTTTGGGTGATGTTCAAAAACAAATCCGTGAGAGCTTGGGATACAAAAAGCTCCAGGAGAAAGAGGTTTGGTATATATGTCAGCAAGTTGATTTGCTGAAGAAATTGGGAGAAGTTTGATAAGTCCCTGCAAAGCTTTCTCCCTTACAATGTGGTAATCAATCTCAATGTGCTTGGTGCGCTCATGGAACACTGGATTTGTAGCTATATGAAGACCAAATCTGTTATCGCAGTATAAAGTGGATGGTTGAATGAATCAAACACTGAAAATCTTGTAAGAGGTAAGTGAGCCATTGTAGTTCACAAACGACACTAGCCATGGCTCGATATTCTGCCTCAGAAGAACTTCTAGATACTGTGGCTTGTTTCTTCGATTTTCAAGAGATCAAAGAGGATCCAAGATACACTACATAACCGGTTATGGAGCTTTGAGTATCAAGGCAACCTGCCCAATCTAAATCACTAAACGCCTTTAATTGCAAAGTGTTTGAGGCAGGAAAAATCAGACCAGCACCTAGAGAACTTTTGATATATCTGAGTATTTGAGAGGCAGCTTGTTGATGAGCAGTTATGGGACGAGCAACAAATTGGCTGAGATTTTGAACTGCATATGTGATGTCAGGTCTTGTATTTGTTAAGTATATGAGTCTTCCAATAAGCCTTCTATAGGAAGAGGCATCACTGTCACAGAGTGGAGAACCAGAATGTTGATGTAGTTTGGTGGTGTAATCAATTGGAGTAGACACTAGTTTAGAACCAATCATTCCAGTGTCACGAAGGATATCTAAAGCATATTTCCTTTGGCAAAGATTAATGCCAGCCTTGGTTCTAGAAACTTCAAAACCAAGGAAGAACTTGAGATCACCAAGATCCTTGATTTTAAAAGCCAAATTAAGAAAATTGGTAATGGTTTTGATTTCTAGCAAGTCATTTCCTGTAAGAACAATATCATCTACATAGACCAAAATAGCAGTAAAAGATTGTTAGTGATGCTTAAGAAATAAGGAATAATCTGTAGCACATTGAGTATAACCATGAGAAGACAAGAAAGCTGAAAGTATAGCATGTCATTGCCTACTAGCCTGTTTTAAACCATATAGTGACTTTTGTAACTTACAAAGCATCCCCTGTTTATCTTGATACATACCTGGTGGAAGAATCATATAGATTTCTTCATGCAAATCTCCATGTAGGAAAGCATTATTCACATCTAATTGCCTCAAATTCCATTGTTGAGTAGCAGCGAAAGCTAACAACAATCTGATAGTAGTTAATTTTGCAACTGGAGAAAACGTATCTAAATAGTCTTGTCCCTCTATCTGAGTATACCCCTTGGCCACTAGTCTAGCCTTGTACCTTTCTATGGAACCATCTGCTCTATGTTTTATTTTATACACCCATCGACACCCAATGGCATTTTTATTTGGAGGGAGCTCTATAAGAACCCAAGTGTGATTTGATTCGAGTGCCTGAATTTCTGCATTCATGGCTTGAATCCATTCAAGATGTTTGGAAGCTTCGTGATATGACTTAGGTTCAGTTTGCTTACTCACAGCTAGACTAGCATTTTTTATAAGATGGTGATAATCTACTATAAGAAAGAACAGTGTGAAGAGGATATTGTTTACCCGAAGAGTGAGTGGTTATAGTTGAGGATGGTAGCGTAACTTGAAAGTCTTTATACTTGTTTGGTATACATGACTGTCTAGAGGATCTTCTTGGAATAAAATTTTCATCAATGGAAATAGGTTCAGATTGTGGAAATTGTACAGATTCTGCAGAATTGGTGGCATTATCATGAAACACTAAATCGGGTCTATGCGGTGTAGGTAAAATAAACAAAGGATTAGGAGAATTATTTTTGATATAGGGAAAACAATCCTCATAAAATATTACATTTCTAGAAACTGTGATAGATCTATTTTTGAGGTCATAGGTAATGTAACCCTTTGTGTTGGGTTTAAAACCAAGAAAAATAGAAATAATAGCTCTAGGGTCAAGTTTCTTTCGTTGTGCAGTCAAGGTGCTTACAAAGCACAAACAACCAAAAACCTTTAATTGTGAGATGTCATATGAGGTTTGAAATAACTTTTCATACGGAGAGGATTGATTGACGAAAGGACTAGGTATGCAATTTATAAGAAGAGCAGAATGCAATAAGGCATAGGACCAAAAGACAGATGGAAAATTAGCTTGAAACAATAATGATCTAGTCACATTTAACAAATGTTGGTGTTTCCTCTCAACAATACCATTTTTTTGAAGTGTCTCAATGCAAGATGTTTGATGCAAGATACCAGTTTCTGCATAAAAATTCTGCATGATAAATTCTGAACCATTGTCAGATCTAATCCTTTTTTACTTTCATCTCAAATTGTCTTTCTACATAAGAAACAAAATTCTTAAGTATACTTTGCGTCTCAGCCTTAGAGCTCATAAGAAAAACCCAAACATATCTCGTGTGATCATCCACTATTGTAAGAAAATATCTATGACCATGCATAGAAGTAAGAGAAAACTTTGGCAATTGAAGGCAATGGTTCCATCATCAATATATTCGACTTCACTGTATTATATTGATCATTGAGGCCTCTAAGAAATTGCATGACGCAATCTTGTTTCTTTCTTTCAATAACACTTATTAAAGCATCACATTTGCACTTAGATTTACATACACATACCGGATCTGGTCTATAGCTCTCTAACTCATCCCATATAACACGTAATTGTGTAAAGTAGTCAGAAATTGATTTGTCACCTTGTTTAATTGAAGCCACATCCTGCTGTAATTCATATATCCTTAATAGATCCCCTTGTGAGAATCTTGATTTCAAATCTTTCCAAATATCATGGGCATTATCCATCCACAAGATACTCTGTCTGATTGAAGGCGAAACAGAGTGTACGATCCAAGAAACCACCATATTATTGCATCGCTTCCAGGCTGCATGAAGAGTATCACTTTGTGTTGGTCGCTGTATCGATCCATCAACGAACTCAACTTTATTTTTCGCACTCAACGCAGTAATCATCGATCTATTCCAAGAATTATAATTGGTTGAATCAAGCACCGGTGAGACCAGGGCTGTGGCTGGATTCTCACCTGGATGAAGATAATATGGGCTATGAACATTGAGCGATTGGTTTTTCTCAACCACGTCACTCATGATGAAGAAAAAGACGAGACGTAACAGTTAAAGGGAGAATGCAAGAATCAAGAACAGAAAGAGAGTGGCACAGCAGAGCTCTTCAATTGAAGAGCTCTGATACCATAACAAACATATAGGAATTCATGAATGAATTTGCATAAAACATGTGAGACTTCATAAACAGACCTTCCATAGAAAGAATGAGAAAAGATAGAGTTGGAAGAAAAACTGTTTCATCAAAATGAATTTGAGTTTAAATTACAAAGTTATCTGCCTCTTTATACTGAGAGTCAAATTAAAACTGAAAATATATATTGTTAACAAACTATATCTATAGTTAAAACAAACTATATCTAAGAATGTGTATATATGTGGTAACCCCCTCGGACCTCGGTGCTCGACGGGTATGATGGGAGATCCCTTGTGTCGAAAGTTTTCCTAACGGTGGGTCCATGTGGAAAAGAGACTTCCCAGTAACATGGAGGGTTAGGAGGCGTGTCCCGCTTTCATGGGAGCAGCACTTAGAGTGTGAGTGTGAGCTCTGTTGGCCACCATCAGATAATACTCGTAGTTTCCGCTGCACGAGAAGGTGTCTCCATTGGTTGAGAGGCCTTTTGAGTGATGTCCAAAAGCAAATTCGTGAGGGCTTGAGCCCAAAAGCGTACAATGTAGAGACGTGTATATATGTGGTAACTCCCTCGGTGCTCAACATTCTGATATCATTTCTTCAATTAGTATTTTGTGTGAATCATTTGATCATTATAACATTTACTATGTGTAATTTAAATCTTATTATAATGATCAAAGCTTATTTAGAAATCACAATTTATTATACATATTTAAGTTTAATTTGCTAGTTCGAATGTAAAAAATCCTCTGAACCAAATCCACCGAAAACAACTCTCAAATGAAACCCTAATTTTCTTTTTAACTTCATCTGTACGTGTTTTTTCTACTTTCATAAAAAAAAAAAATTGCTTCACAACGAGGATAAAGAAGTTATAATTAATATTTCATGCAAACTATTTAAACATTTCATACGCTCAATTTTGTGAAATGCATGTTTAGAGTTTTGCCAAGGCTCAAAATTAAAAGTTAATTTTAATTGAATTGTTTTAATAATTAATTACATATATAATTCACTGTTATGTTTGAGGAATAGGTAGGCATTAGCTCCTCAATATCTAAGCAATATTATTAAAATCGGTTTGTACTCACTAGTTAAATCAATTAGACAGGAACCAGTAGTGCAATGGATCCCAGCTTGCAATTAGATTGTTCATGTTATTAAACTGTTGAAAATTTGGTTGAATCAATCAATTTCCTACCTGAACCAATGAATCTACAATCTTTCAATTTGACTGGTTCATCACTGCTACAAGAGACCCATCTACTTTCTCTGATTCCTACTTTTCAAGTTGGGATTTGAGGCTAACTCCTTAGGATAGCTACAATCAAATTAACCTTCGCATTAAGCTTAATATATATATATATATATATATTAAAATTAAATATATTTAATAAATATCAGATTATATAATTTAATCAATGACCTATCAATTCAACCAATAAATCTGTGACTAAATATCTCGATTAAGTCGATGATGAATCTGATTATTTATTACCCATACACATAAGTAATGGTGAAATTTTAATAATTTATAATAATTTTTTAGAACTAAAATTACACTTTTATGAAACCCTAAAGATTAAAATTATATTTAAACTCTATTCTAAATTGAAGAGATGGTGGAAGCAATAAAACATCAATCTTGGTAATAGAACCAGGCTAACTTATGTTTTAAGTCCAAAGACTTATATTAGGTGGATTTAGCATAAGGAAGATATGAAGGAGGAGGAGATACCAATTTGAGTGTGGATATATCTATTAGACATGTTAATTTGGTGATTTTGACGTACTAAAATGTATTGTGAAGTTTTGGTATTTCTAAATTTTTTATTTTAGAAATGTGAATTGTATGTTTATGGGTGTTTACAATTGGTTTAAGCACTTGGTAACTTAGTTATATTGTGTTTCAGAATGAACAAAGTGGCCTTATGGAGTGATAGTGTGGTCTATGTGGTAGACTAGGGTCCCACAAAGATATTGGAAAGATAATTGATGAGATTGAGTAAGGGTATATACAATTTGCTTATGATTTGTAATCAATTAAGTAATAAGAAATAAGGAGACATATATGTTTTTGTGAGATTACAATATATATCTTCTATGTGCATGTAGGTATTACTGGTGTTTATTTTTCTTTTGAAACCGCAAAAATATATATATTAATGTATAAAAGATAAGAAATCGCAAAATGTGACCATTCAATATGTACCACTTGTGTCTATCTAAAACCGATAGAAATATATATATATATATATATATATATATAATTGTCCATGTGTCACTTGAATCGCTTGATTCCTTATTTTGAGCTATTCTAAGACCTCTAGACCTACAGAGAACCCTCCTAGGGCCTTCCA